CATAGACTATTTTCTATGCACAAACATATCTTTTAAGTAATTGGAATGATCTACACTGCTATGAAATCTTCTTTTTTCCCACCTGTAGCATGTCTCTGAGCTTCTTATCTATTTTTGTCTTATCTTGTATATGAAACATTAGTTGAGTTACAATTTACAAACACCTTATGGGGCATATTGGTAAGTATATCATACCAGGAAAAGTATTCTGCATACATCAGATATGATTTTTGCATTTTACTCCATTTTTACTAAAAGAAGAGTCAAAATAGTGTCTTTTTTCATAAAGTAAAAAGATTTCCATAAAACAGGTTGGAGCTAATTATATACTGTTCTGAAATATTTTCCTATGTAATGTTTTATGGAAATCTTTTTACTCTATGAAAAAAGACACTATTTTGACTCTCAAAACACTGCATATACAATAAACATAAAACATTTTCTTTCTTAGAGTTGCTTTTTCAAGTACTCTTTTTGTAACTTTCCAAAAAAGAATCACTGTTAAAATCATCTCTTAAGATCTTGATTCTCAAATTGCTCTCAGCCTTTCCACCACAGCTTTAGGCTTCTGAAGAGTAGCCTTTGGTGTTCAGAGTACAAAAAAAAAAAAAAAAAAGAGGAAAGCGAAGAAAGGAAACCTTGTGTTCATCAGGGGTAGAAGTAAACAACATGACGTAGTGTGACCTAGACTCCTTGTGACCCATCCCCTTCCCATCATCCCTCATCCTGCCATACTTCAAGGTGGACTTTCTCCTCCGTGACATCTTTCAAAATAACCACCTCAGTGCTGGGGCAACACAGCCAAGCAAAACTTCCATCTACGGCTTTGCATGAAGCGGAATGCTTCCTCCAGGAGCTGCTGGGAAAGTGTCTGCCCCTAGGGCTTTCTCCTGTGCCGCTGGGCTTTGTGAGTCAGCAGAGTTGCATAATGGCCACATACCTAACTGCACCCTGTGCCTGAGGTCAGCCCAGCCTGAGCCCTCTCCTTACATCATTGTCCCTGTAGAGGAATGTTGCTAATATTTACTATTTGATGCAATGGAAATTTTCAATAATAGGAAAATCTTTTAATAGTGTCCACTCGACAAGGTCAAATCTGTGGGGTTGTGACAAGTCAGAGTGCTGTGTCCATCTGGTTCTATTAGGGAGAGTAAGGCCCGGGATGGACAAACACCAGACACGCTAGCATTAGATTCTTGCAAAACAAATCCTTTTCTAAATGACACTTAGCAACTCGGAGGGGTGGGCAAAAAGGACTTGAAAATGTCTTGCTCTGGCTGGCCTTGGCCACTCCCCTGGAATGCCTGAGAACAAGAAGGGTGAGCACCGCTTGGCCGCTGGTTTTGTCACAGGCCTGGGGACTGAATTGCTTTTGTGTGCATTGTTTCGATGATAAGCAGCATTCCCCTAACTTAGCCTTATCAAAGAGCCAGTTGCTCAGGACTTATTTCCCACAGTTTGGGAAGAAAATATTTATAACAAGCTTAATTTTGCAAGGGAGATTGGTAAGATAAAAATGGAACAGAAGCACAGGGGTGTGTCCCGCATGACTGATGGTTTGTTTTTCAATCAGTCTCCCAGAGAAGGATTTGTCTGAAAACTACTTTTTTAGACACGATACTCTGCTCCCTGTGTTCTTACATTTTGCACCCAAGGAATGTGAAAATTTCTGTACTTTTCAGGCATTAGTGACTATTTTTGAAATTGCAATTTTTTAAAAGGACATATTCTCAGATTTATAAGTAGCCTACGCACAGGTGCCAAATAACTAAAAAGGTACAGTGTTGTCACAGGAAAACAAAAAAAACAAAAAAAAACCAGAGAAATATGCAGAGCCAAATAGGTATTTCTAAAACTTGAGGCCATATGTTAGCATTAGTAAATGCTTGAATCCAGTGTGTGTGTGTGTGTGTGTGTGTGTGTGTGTGTGTGTGTGTGGTACCAAAGCTAGAACCCAGAAGCACTCTACCACTGAGCTACATCTCCGGCCCTTTTATTTGTTTGTTTGTTTATACGGGGTCTGACTAAGTTGCCCAGGCTTGCCTTGAATTTGCTAGTCTCCTGCCTCAGCCTCCTAATCGTCTGACATTATAGGTGTGCACAACCATCCCAATTCTCTGGTTTAATATGTAGCCACACCATGATTAAACGTGATCAGTGGAATTACAGTGCTGGTAAGTTAGTGATGATTTATAAATTCGAGCATATCTATGATTCATTAGAGGGAATCAAATCTTATCATGCTCAGCCCAACAAGCACATGGCATGGCTATAATCCCAGCTGCTCAGGAGCAGGAAGACCATTTGAACATAGGAATTCAAGACCAGCCTGGACAACATACAAGACCCTGTTTCAAAACATAAAAATAAAGGAGTGAGGCTGGTGGATGAGGGGATGTAGCTTGGTGGTAGAACACTTGTGTAGCATGCTTGGAGCCAGGGGTCTGATGAATCAAATTCGTGTACCCATTGAAAAGAAAGAGATCAGCAGCCGGACAAAATCTTGTTGCCCAGAAAGGAAAATGCCAGTGTCAGAAAATGTTCATAGTATCAGTTAAATGGTCTACTCAGAACTCCTGAATACTATCAGGCTTTCAAACTTGGTGAAAAAAT